CCCTGTCGCTGGCCCCTGCCAGGGCTGTCATCCCCTGGCAGGGTGACAAAAAGGTCTCGCTCCGATGGGCCCCCCCTCCAGTTTTGCCAGGATCGAGGGACCTCGCCCCTTTTTCCTTTGGTCAGTGCGTAGGAGGAGGAGGAAGTGGAGGAGGAGGAGGAGGATGAGGAGGAGGAGAAAGAGCGCAGCGCGGGCCGGAATCCGCGGCTCCAGAAGTCCTCGGGGGCAACTGAAGATCGCCGAGCGCGCTCCACTGCTCGCAGAGCGCCTGCTCGCAGACGTCCGAAGAGCACCTGTCTGTTTTGGTGCGATTTATCGCAGATCCTCCGCGGCGGATGCAGGCCACTTGCAAGTGGCTACTTTGCGAGTAGTGGAGCGCGCTCGTCTATATAGAGGGGGATAGGCATAGGGGGGATGCATCGACCCCCAATCGTCCATTGATCGCCAATAGGGGTCTGATAGCCCCAGCCCGCCCAGGAGGGTGCGGATTCAATATCGGGGGCCCATCGCCGATCTATCGGCGATGTATGGCCGATTCCAGGTCGATGCAACCCCCCTATGCCAGTCCCCCCCTATCGTTGCCCCTCAAGTCCCGACCGCTTCCACGGGTGTGCAGGGCAGGGCTCATGTCGACTCCTCCGATTCGATTCGAGCTCGATGGCCTCCGATTCCGAGTCGATTCGGCTTCGGATTCCGATTTTTGGATTCCAATCTCTCCATGAGACATTACTGCTCTGCCGATTTCTGCCGATTCGACTCCTCCCGACTTGGCTGCCGATTTCCTCCAATTCGATTTATTTCGATCGCAGTGGAGGCCCATTTCCTGCCGATTTTATTTCCTGCCGATTCGACTTATCGATTCGATACTGGGCTCTCCTGCAGTGGAGGCCCATGCCAAGAAGCACCCTGCTTGCCTCCAGGGTGCCCTGGGTGTCTTGGGTTTCGAGGGTTTTGCTGTGGAGAGCGCGGCTTTCCCACGCCAAATATCACAAAGGACAGCCTGGGGTCTCAGTGTTGGGTTTCTTGTGGAAGGCTTCTTGTGGACTGGCCTCCACCGTCGTTTTTCGCCCCGGACCCATTCCTGACGGCCCAGGGGCCAGAGAACGGTCCCTCAACAGGCCGACGGCAAGGAAACGCCGCCGGTCTGAAAAGCTCGTGTCGTCGGGGCTCTCTTGAAGCAGCGCCGGCGTCCTTGCTTCGTGCTCGTGCTCGCTCGGGGTCTGTCGACGAGCGGGCCTCCGGGAGGCCCGAGGAAGGACGACAAAAACGCCAGGGAGGGCCGCCGTTGTCTCGGCTGGCCCTCCTCCCTCCTCCCTCCTCCCTCCTCCCTCCTCCCTCCCTCCTCCCTCCTCCCTCCTCCCTCCTCCTCCCTCCTCCCTCCTCCCTCCCTCCTCCCTCCTCCCTCCTCCCTCCCTCCTCCCTCCTCCCTCCTCGGGAATTTGTGCCCGCGCTTCTGCAGCCTCCCGTCGCCCCAGTGAGGACGGCGAGGCGGACGTTGCGACGAACGTCCAGAGGCTCCTGGAGGGTCAGGGGCGGCTCGAGCAGCTGCTCTGGTGCCTAATGGCAAGAGAGGGCGCGCCGGGTGTGCAGGAGCTCAGGGGCTGTCGCCCGCGATAGGAGGGGCATCGAGGGGAAGCGTGGGGCTCGATTGGGTTCGGGCCACGGTGCAGTGTCAAGCGACCGACGACTTGACCAGTCTTCCGTCCAGTGCGCTCCGGATGGAGCGCTTTCTCTGTTTTGTTCAGTTGTGCACGCGTGACTGTAATGTTTCACGGTTTCACAGTTTCTCAGAGCTCAGGGGCTACGGGGGAGGGCCACATGCTTCGGGTCTGCGGCGATCCCAGGGGATGCGAGGATGTGAGAGGGGGTGGGCCTGCTCAGGAGGCTCGGAAGGCCTCGGGCCTTCAGAGAGGTTTTCCAAGCCTTCTCCGAAAGCAGTGACTGCTTCTCAGAAGGCCAGAGGGCTCGCCTCTCATTTCCCCCCCGGGCGCGCCGCCGATCGGGGCAATCGAACGTTTTCGGAAGTTTTCGATGCCCCAGGCGGTTTCCATCAGCTGCGCCTCGTCGAGAGAGTTTCGGGTGTGCTGGGATCGTCCCAAACGGGTCGGAGGCACGAGTTATGGCCCGAAAACCAGGGAGCGGAAGGTCAAGGGCAACGTCAAGGGGTAGGGGGTAGGCTCAGGGGAGGATGTGCCGGGTGTGCATGGGTCAGGGGCAACGTCAGGGCTCAGGGGGGGGGACTCAGGCCACCACCTCTTCTCGTTTCGAAGAAGTCACGTCGGGAGGTTTTTTGGCTGGCGCCCTCACCGGGATCGTCAAACAATTCCTCAGTATTAAGACCTGGTTCTGGGGAAGGGGTCCAGATCTCCGGGGGTCCACATTGTGAAGCAATCACTGGGTGGGTCGTCACAGGGTGGGTCGCAGGGTGGACGACAACAAGAAAACAGCATCAATCATCAGCGTCGCGGAATCATACTTCAGCCACGCCCCCAGGACGGTGCAACATGATCGACCCACGCACCCGGAAAGGAATATAGAAATATAAGGCATGGCAATGTTTCAAAGACACCTGATTGGGCGACGGGTAAACGCAATGCTGAGTGTATCGATCTTGATGTACCGTGCCGAGTGATGTGCTGTGCTGCGCCGTGCTGAGTTGCGATGCGCCATGCCGCGAATGTGCTCTATAGCGTTGTGGATCGAGCCCTCTTTTGCATCCTAGTCCTGACCGAACTGATCTGGATCTTAAGCTCGAGCTGCCTTACCACATAGTAGCTGCCCCAGAACTAATTGATAGGGGGACATGCCAGGAGGACGCGCCCGCGGAACGTCCCAAGGGACGCGCCAGGCGACGTGCCAAGGGACGTGCCACGGGGACGCACCGCAGGACGTGCCAAGGGGACGCGCTACGGGCCGTGCCAGGGGACGCGCCGCGCGACGTGCCAGGAAGACTCGCCACGGGACGCGCCACGGAACGTGCCAAGGATTTTGCCATGTTGCTATGCTGAGTGTATCGATCTTGATGTACCGTGCCGAGGGCTGTGTGCTGTGCTGCGCCGTGCTGAGTTGCGATGTGCCATGCCGCGATTTTGCTCTACAGAGTTGTGGATCGGGTCATCCTTTGCATCCGAGTCCTGACCGAACTGATCTGGATCTTAAGCTCGTGCTGCCTCAGCACATAGCAGCTGCCCCAGAGCTAATTGACAGGGGGACATGGCAGGAGGACGCGCCGCGGAACGTCCCAAGGGACGCGCCAGGCGACGTGCCAAGGGACGTGCCACGGGGACGCACCGCAGGACGTGCCAAGGGGACGCGCTACGGACCGTGCCAGGGGACGTGCCACGTGCCAGGGGACGCGCCGCGCGACGTGCCAAGGGGACTCGCCACGGGACGCGCCACGGAAAGTGCCAGGGAACGTGCCAGGTTGCAACGCTGAGTTTATCGATCTTGATGTACCGTGCCGAGGGGTGTGCTGTGCTGCGCAGTGCTGAGTTGCGATGCGCCATGCCGCATCCGAGTCCTGACCGAACTGATTGTCAATTACGCTGTGTCCGCGCCCCCAGGGGCAGGATCCATAGTAAATTACACTTTGTCCGCCCCCCCAGGGCCCTGATCCCTCGCAAATTACACTGCCTCCGCTCTTCCAGGGCCCCGATCCCTCGTAAATTACGCTGCGTCCGCTCTCCCTGGGCCACGGTCCCTCGCAAACGACGCTGCGTCCGCGCTCCCAGGGCCGCGCTCCCTCGTGAATGACTCCCAGGGCCGCGCTCCCTCGTGAATGACGCAGTGTCCACGCTCTCAGGGCCACTATCCCTAGTCAATTACACTGGGTTAGCGCCTCCAGGGCCAGCATCCCTTGTCAATTACGCTGCGTCCGCGCTCCCAGGGCCGGGATCCTTTGCAAATTACCGAGCATCTGCGCTCTCAGGGCCACGATCTTTTGGTCCGACCGCACCAGAACCACCTGGGCATCCTGGAGCGCCCAAGCCTTTCAAGCGCTGCAAAACAAGCGTTTCGCCCGAGACATCCTCAGAGATTCGGCACGCAGGGTGCGCCATCCTCGAGCGGGCACGCAAAAGGCCAACCTTCCTTCTACAAGACAAGCGCGGGACTCGAGACATCCTCGAAATTTCTGCGTGCGGAAGGCGCCATCCTCGAGCGGGCACGCAAAAAGTCATTTTTTCTTATTTTTCGTGTCCCAGTCGGGGCTCTTATCTTTGTCATTTAGTATGTATTCTGCGCAAAACGCTCCGCACCTTTTTTTACGAAGGAAAGCGGGAGTCCGCGGACCCCACTAGGCAACGAGGATCCGAGATGGGGGGCGCACTTTCCTCGAGCGGGCACGCGCGAAACGCAGTTTTTCCAGGCCGAAAGGGACTTTACCTTGTCATTTATAACAAATGAATTCGCCAGCCCTCTTCAAGCATGGCACCGGGGACAGGTTTACCGACTAAAAGAGAACCCTGGGCCCTCACCCTTTTCCAGGAAAAACCGTTCGGCCTCCTCACCCTGATGTATCTCTCTCTCTCTCTATATATTCATTTGTTTGTGTGTGTATATATACACACAAAAGATCATATATGTGTATATATTCACACAAAAGATCATATATATATATATATATATATATATATATATATAAGGGGCCCTGGGGGGCCAAGTGGATCCATATCCGCCGCCTGCCGAGGCCTCCGAATATCGATGCTCCAGGCGGTTGTTATGCAGAGATCCCCCCTCCGCAGGAGCAGCGCCGGTCGCGCACCGGCGACTGGGTCGCCGCTGGCGCCTCCAGCGTGGGGGCGCAGAAGTCGTCCGCGGAGGTGACGCCGAACGCGACCTTCATCGAGGTGCCACAGGTGCGGGAGGGGTGGCAGGGCACGGACGAGGACCTCCGGCGGGCGTGCGAGGCGGAGGGTGCCAACCTCGTGGACGACGAGGATCCGGTTGTTGTCGTCGAGGGTGCGCGTGAGTCTAGCGGCGGTGCGGCCTCATCCTTCCTGATGGCTGGCTTCCGCGGCATATATTCAGGTGGGTCTTGGATGCTGCACAGGAGCCATAGGGACAATCCATACATGGTCTTCAGCCCAACTTCTAGACTGCGGCTCGCCATGGACCTCCTCAGCGTGATCGTGCTCGCGTACGACGTGCTCTCCCTGCCCTACATGCTTGCTTTCGAGGTGCCCCAGGAGGGGACGGTGATGACACTGTCGATGATATCGGTCTGCTTCTGGACGGCCGACCTGATTTTGTGCTTTCGCACAGCTTTCTGGCGCAAAGGGCGCCTCGAAATGAGTCCGCGGAGGATCGCCATTCAGTACTTGAGGAACACCTTCATGCTTGACGCCTCCCTCGTTTTGCTCGACCTCCTCGCGATTGTGATGATCTTGTTGGAGAACAACCAGCCCAAAGAGATGGACGCATTCAAGCTGTGGCGGATCGGCAAGATAACTCGCATAATGCGATGCCTGAGCTTCCTCAGACTGAGGTCCGTGGCAGACATTGTTGAGCGCGTGTCCCAGCGCAGTAAGTTCCTGCAGGCAACAAGCCTGGTCGTCTACGACGTCATCAGGATAGTTTTCGTGATCCTGTGGCTCAACCACATCATCGCGTGCTTGTGGGTCGCCCTCGGGAAGAATGTATCCAACGACACGGGCATGAGCTGGCTCGACGTGTCGACGGGCGGCCACGACGGCATGCCGTACGGCTACGCCGCAAACAAGTACCAATACATCCGAGACGCATCCGTCGAATCGCCGCCGCCCCACGGCCTATCTCGACGCCTGTGCGTGAAAGGGCCGGGAGAAACGCAGAGAGCCGGGGCAGAACAACAGGACAGACAAACTCGCCGAGCTCCGCGCGGATCTATCGCATCGGCGTCGGGGCCTCCCTGGCGGCGCCTCTGGCGCCGGCCCCCGGCGCGCGTCATGCGTGGCGCGACGCACAGCCGAAGCAGCAACAACAGCAGAAGCACAAACTCGCCGAGCTCCGCGCGGATCTCTTGCATCGGCGTTGGGGCCTCCCTGGCGGCGCCTCCGGCGCCGGCCCCTGGCGCGCGTCATGCGCGGGGCGGTCCTCGCGCCGGGGAAGGGGGCTTCAGCGTCCATCCAGGCACTCCGCGCGGACCTCCAAATGGTGACGTGAATGCAGTTGTTTTCTCCTCTCTGCGGGCAAGATTTTCATCCATATCCACTGCGTCTTGGAGTTTCGGGCTCCCTCCGATGCCACGCCCGCGAACGCCTGCCGAAGGATCGGGGAGCCGACTGACCTCCCTCTCGCCATGCCCCAGGCTTGGAGTCCGGAGGGATCTCGACGTTCACTCGGAGGTGCAGCGCGTGGGGCCAGCCGCAGAGCTGGCCCTGCGGGCCCGGGCCCGCCGGTTCTGGGGGGCTCCAGCGCAGCCCATGACCGCAACTCTTGGCGCAACCCATGGTGCAACCAATGGGCGCGACCCCGGGTCACGCGAGATCCTTCGGGCGACAGGCGCGGCCCCTGGCCGCGCCCTGTCGCGCAGCCTCGGTAGTGCAGCTGCTGGCTCCGCGAGGCCCTCGGGGCGACAGGCGGCAGGGCCCGCGCTCGCGCAGAGGCAGAGCCCGCGGGGCCAGAGGAGGCAGGCGCCATGGCCGCGGCGTCTTCGCGGCCGCTGGGGCCCCCCCCAAGGGCGCGTTGGGCCGGAATCGGCGCCGCGTGTGCCGCGCATCCGCCCCAGATCGGCTAGAGCATTGGGGCTTTCTCCGCGCGGGAGCGCAGCGGCGATGGAGAGCAGCGAGGATCGGCGGCGCGCCAAATGGGGAATGTACAGTCTAGGCCTCCCAAGTGGTGTCCGAGCAGACGGGGTCGGAGGGTCGCGCCGTATCCCCGATGCATCGGAGGATGAGGAGGAGGAGGAGGGGGAGGAGGGGAGGAGGAGAGGAGGAGGAGGAGGGAGGAGGAGGAGGATGAGGAGAGATGAGGAGGAGAGGAGAGAGAGGAGGAGGAGGGAGGAGGAGGAGGAGGAGGAGGAGGAGGGAGGAGGAGGAGGAGGAGGAGAGGAGGAGGGAGGAGGAGGAGGAGGAGGAGGAGGAGGAGGAGGAGAGAGGAGGAAGGAAGGGAGGAGGAGGAGGGGAGGAGGAGGAGGAGTAGGAAGGAGGAGGAAGGAGGAGGGGGAGGAGAGGAGGAGGAAGGAGAGGAGGAGGCGGAGGAGGAGGAGGAGGAGGAGGGAGTCAGAGGAGGAGGGAGGAGGAGGAGGAGGAGGAGGAGGAGGAGCAAAAGGAGGGAGAAGGAGGGAGGAGGAGGGAGGAGGAGGAGGAGGAGGAGGATGAGGAGGAGGAGGAGGAGGATTATAGGGCTCAGAGCACGATCAATGGAGGTCGTCAAGGGCACGGTGGAGCCGGTGTGGTTGCGCGCTCGCATTTTCACACGGTTGTGCCCACGGACGAGCAGAAGTTACTCTTCCCCGAGCAAATGCCAGCGCAGCCCAGCCAGTGGGCGGTCCAGTGGGTGCGCTTCAATGGAGTCGACGTGGCTTTCGTGGCGGCGTACTTCGTTGTGGGCGTCGGGCTGGGGGAGCCGAATCTAAGCATGCTCGCTGAGATCGGCGGCTACCTGCGCTTGCGTGGGCAGCCGTTCATCATCATGGCCGGCTGAAACATGACGTTGGATGAGATTGGGCCCGCGTGCTTCGACCGTTACGTAGAAGGTGAGTGGGTTTCAGCTGGTGAACACCCCAGTGGCGAGATATTGATTGACTATATGTTGGTGTCGGCCTCTCTCAGACACGCTGTTGAGCTTTCCTGGGATGACACCTCTCCGTGGGCGGCCCCGCACATCGGCATCAGGGGCAGGCTATTGAAGGAGGGGATGGTGCTTAAGCAGAGGATCGCCAAGGCGCCGCTCCCGCTCACGCCGTTCATGATGGGGCCAGATCGGCCCTGGGCTGCTCACTGTGCAGAGATCGCAGACCTGGTCTTCGACGGCATGCAGCACGAGGAGCTCCAGATGCTGGAGGGGCAGGAGAAGCAGGTCAGCGAGAGTTACATGAGGTTTGCGCTCACGGCGGAGCACCTGCTGCTGGAGAGGGAGGCGGGCCAGGGCACGCGGACCTTCTCGGTGGCCAAGCGGGGCTCCATGATCGAGACTCAGGAGGTGCTGGTTGTCCCCCCTACTCCTCAGGGGTGGATGGCCAAGTCCTCGGGGGTTGCCAAGTGGGGGGCCCTTGAGGGGCGCCTGATTGAGTTTTCGGGGACGCTCAAGAAGGATCGTGCCATTCACTGTAGAATGCGAGGATGGGATAGTCTACAGGGACAAGTGAGTAGATGCCAAGACGTAGGGTCTGTTCTACCAGGTGATGCCGAATCCAAGTTTTTGGGCAAAGTTCTGAGTTTTCCCTTCCTGGGGAAGGAGGACCACGCCAAGGTCCAGAAACGGTGTGGTGAGTGCCGTAGGCTGGTTCTTAGGATCGAGCGTCACCATGGGAGAGAATCTTCCAAGGGGTTTAAAGAATGGGTCCTAGAAAGTTTGAAGAAGGGGGCGGGGGCGGTCCACAGGTGGACCAAGGCGTGGGGGAGGCCCCGACCTGCCCTTGCACCCGAACGTGGTCCTGAGGGGGGGTTGTTGGTGGATCCCCGTCGCGTGATCGCCTCCAAGGCGGTTGTGTGGGAGGCGCTTTGGTGTCCGAGCTTTGGGAACCAGGGCCCCCCTCAGGACCAGGACGGGTGGCCCGAGTTTCGGAGATGTGCGGCAGAAGCTCGCGACGAGCTCCAGCCGCTCGCAATGGCCGGTGTGGAGACAGCGCCGTCGAGATTCAGGAGCGTTGTTGGGATGGGCCTGGATGGCCAGAATCCTAAGCTGTGGGCCCAGCTTCCCTTGGAGGGTCGGCAGGAATTGCCGATGCTCCTTCGCCAGGTCGAAGAATCTTTGACCTGGCCCAGGCAGGTTAGAGATAATGTTGTCCAGCTGCAGCACAAATCAGACGTGGCCGATCGGCCCATCACGCTAACTCAGGGCCTCTACCGCTGTTGGTCCGTGATGAGGAGGGATGGGGTGTCGCGTTGGGCGGTTGGAGAGGGGGGGGCTCGCTTCTGGGGCAATGCGGTCAGATGTAATTCGGCCCTTAGAGCGGCGATCGCTCGCCAGCTTCAGCTCGAGGTTTCCACCATCCAGGGGTTTTCCTGGGCGGAGATCCTGTGGGACCTCGAGAAGTTTTACGATCATCTCCCGTGTTTCGAAATCTTCAGGCTCGCGAAAGCAACGGGGTATCCGATGTTTGAGCTTTTCCATGGAATGTCCATTCACCTCGCTCCGAGGAGAGTTCGCGCTGAGAACAACATCAGCGACGTTGTAACCCCGTGGCGAGGCATTTTAGCAGGATGCAACCAGTCTGTAGACGTAGCCAGAGTAGGTTTGTTTGAGATTTTGCAAGACTTGCACGACTCGTTCAGACCCCTCCAGCTTGACACTTGGGTGGGGGACTGTTCTCAGCAGGTGGTGGGGCACTCTCGGGGGGTGGTCTCGAAGTCTGTGCTTGTCGCTAGGAAACTGTGGAGGTTGTGCAGCAACGGGGGCCTCAAGGTTTCCAGTAAGTCGGTCCTCGTGAGTTGCCCGAAACATCTTGCCACGGAAATTCTGTCAGCACCCGCTAAACATGGCCTGAATGTACAAGCCAATCGTGTAGCGACAGATTTGGGAGCGGATGCTACTGCCACCCGTCGCAGTGTAGCCACTCAGAAGAAGCGGCTGAGTGCTTCCGCCAGCCGCGCCAAGAAGACCGCTCAGGTGGTCTAGGTGGCGCCTAAGGCGAGAATGCCTGGTCGCACGGGGTTTCTGCCGCAGGCGACGTGGGGGCTGGAAAGCATCGGCCTTGCTCCGTCGACGCTGCTGCGAGTCCGAGCGCAGGCGGCTGCGCTGTCGGGCGCCCGTTTTGAGGGAGGCTGCTCGACCACGGCGCTCTGTTTAATGATGGGAGCTGATCACGACCCATTGTTGTTCGGACGCCTGAAAGTCTTTAGGTCGTGGTACGAGCTCCTGTCCTGTGCGCCGCGCTCTAGCGAGCGACCTGTCCAGCTTGCGCGGGAAAAAGGCTTGGCATTAATTGCTCAATGTAAAGAGAAGGTGGGGCCGCGTTCGGGGCCCCCTCACGGCTGTGTTCGCTTGTCTACAGGACATTAACTGGGATGCCCCTGCGCCTTGGCTTTGGATTGACAGATCCGACGGCGCCACCTTTGATTTGAGAGCCTGTGATCCTGAGAGGCTCTTTGATTTCGACCTCCGAGGCCCCCTTGAATGCCAGGTGTGGGCCGAAGCGGCTCAGCACAACCACGGTCGGGGGTTGGGGCACAGTGCTGATTTCACGGTTGCCTATCGCCACTTGAAGCGATTGGAGGGAAGGCAGCAGCATGATCAGGCGGCCGCCTTGAAGATGGTGCTCGCGGGGGGTTTGTGGCCAGCCGCCGGGCGCTTTGGGGAAGAGAGCCTCCATCCTCCTCTGCCCCCCCCCCCACGGCGGCGACGGTGGCGGCGGCGACGGCGGCCCTCGGCCCGACCCGGCGCCCGAGGGGCAGGCTGGCCCCGACCCGCGCCCCGAGGAGGGGCGGCCCGTTGCCGCAGGATTGGGCGAGGAGGACGACGCTTTCGGTCTCGATGACCTGCTGGAGCAGCAGGCCTGGGATGATCAGATCGGGCTCGAGGAGGCCGAGCCTTCTTCGCCTGCCCCCGGCACGCCTCGCCGCCTTCCATCTTTCCCGA